CTTCATCTTCTTCTTCAACACCAGTTCAGGTAGCGAAAATAAATGTGAGTTTACTAAAATATTATAAATAGGTTTTACCATAATGTCATACAAATACTGCCACCATCTGGGAGTTTGAGTTAGTGCGTGTTCATCTGCCAACCTCTCTTTGTATTTTCTCATTTTCTTTGTTTCTGCAGGTGGTCGAGGTGATTCTCGGTGGACATTGTCAAATGGATCCAGACGGTGAGAATCAGGCAACGCAACGTGAACTTTTTTCTTTACTAAAAAGACAAAAATAGAACAAAGAGCTCACAGTCAGGATTCGGAGAATTTAATAATGTCTAAAACGATTTTAAAAATAAGATTAAGCTGTGTAGTTTCTAAAGTGTATGGTTTTATTTACAGCTCCACAGACCAGTCTAGTAGTAGTAGTAGTAGTAGTCATAGTTGTAGTAGTAGTTGTAGTAGTAGTCGTAGTAGTAGTCGTCGTAGTAGTAGCTAGTCTGGTAGCTAGTTTTGGAAGCTAACTGTATTATTTACTTCTCTAAATGGTTTAAGTTAAGTATTTAAATTTGTATTGAACAGTATTGTTGCAGGAGTCGACTTACAGTAATGTATGCACCACAGCTGTGTTTATAGCACCCCCTCAGGGGGAGGAGTGAGGGCCACATGCTGTTTATTTACAAACACTAACCAAAATTCCCTGCATGCTCTACAACAAAATGCTCACTGTTGTCAGCACAGACCCAAACTTTCATCAGGCTCATATTTCATGTTGTTAGTGTAAGAAAAACATTACACCTGACACGACGTGGAGACTAAAAATCGGAAATGAAATCCATTAAATAATCACAATAACTTATCACAACTTTTTTTCAGTAACTATTTTACAGAAATACAATATTTACAGCTATAATAGAACATAATAAATAAAACGTTTTTTTCCATGATGAGTTTACTTATGTTAGTTTAGAGAAACCTATTTTAATAAAGAAACGATCCCAGTAATGAAATTATTATATATATCTTAAAAAAACAAACGTTTTAGCAAAGTTGTCGTAGCTTTTCGTTTTACCAGGCTGTTTTAATAGCTGAAAACTTACATAAAACATAAGAACTAATGATTTGAAGTAACATTTATGAGTAAACAGTAACAACACAGACTTTTGCAGTCACTTTTTTGTTGCATTAAAGGTAAAGGATTGAGTTAGTAATGAATTCTGATATTTTCTACATTTCCCTGTGTGCTTAATAACTTTAGAGGATTTACAGGTTTAAGTTAGTCTCACAATAATTATGGACAAAGAAAACTATGGTGATATTTCAAATGATCCTAAATCTGTTCAGCAGTAGATGATTTTTGATACCTGATGAAATAATTTACAACAACTAAAGGGAGGGTGGAAGGGGATTTAAAAAGGAAAAGTTGAAAATCAGCTCTTACATTTCCTGAGGCAGTTTTTCTTCTTCTGAACTGCCACCCACTTCACCCTGTTTTTCTGCAGCCTTTGACCTGTGCTCACCCACCCCTCCCCCAGTGCTCTGTTTCTCTCTCCCTCTTTCTCTCTCTCTCTCACACACAAGCACAAACTTTAACAGATACATTTGATAGCACCGTTAAAGAGCAGAAGTAGAAAGAAAAACAGGTAGAAACTAACTATCCTGCTTTTTTTTTCAACCTCTCTTGGACTTTTAGAGTTCCTGGTGTTTCTTTAACCTGATATTATTGATAAATGTTTGGTGTTTTGTTTTTGTATGTAATTCATGAAGAACATTTATTTGAAGTCTTATCAGCTGACTTCATGTTAAATATTTTGTAAGAGTCTTTTATTATCAGTATAATATATATAATTATATTTTAAAATGTTGGAAGTATCCAAAGAATAAATAAAGCTAATGTTAGTAAAGGTGTTGATAATTGACAATACATAGATTAATGTATGGTTTCGTTGCAGTTTAAGAACACATAAAGCAGTCATTTATTTTAAGAAGTTTTCATTCCCGAGCTAAAACTTCATCTGTTTACATATACTTACATATTCAAGATGACACGCTTTACTCTTATTCAAAAGCCTTAAAATAACTGCTGCTTCTTATGTGGTTGTTTGACCCCTGGCCTGTGACTCCACATCAGCACCTCCCATGTGACCAGCCTGTGTGTTTGAGCATCAGACCATCTCTGGACAAAGGTCAAAACAAAATGAAAGAATTGTAAGTATAACTAGAACTGGTAAACTGTAGGAAGAAAGGCTACTGTAAAATCTCAAGAACTTTACATAAAATATCTGTCGTTAAAAACGATTCCTTTTTAATCACAGCGTGTTAATTTTAGTGACCACCATTCAGGCTGATTAATCCAACACAGAGAATGCTAATGCTTAAATGTGCCATGTCTGGCTGTGGCACATGAATTTGAAGTTAATATAAGATGAGAATGTGACACTCCATCTCATTAATTATCCCATAATGAAGTCTGTAATATAAAATCCATTCAAGACTGGGGTTGTAATAAAATTAAAATAATTTATTCAGAGCTTGAAACCTTCTGTAAAGAAAGAGCCCAGCTGTACATTACAGACCAACTGACAGGCTGAAAAACGATTGCTGGTTAAAACTTTGGAATTAGAGATTTTTGTTTTAATGTTATGTAGACATGGGGACACAGAGACTTGATTTATTCAAAAATTTCATAACTAACTGTAACGTTTTTATTTCACAACACCCTCATTTATCCGCAGTAATTGTGGCGAATCAACAGTTGAACTACTGTGGAAGGAAACTGTCAAGCGTTGGATCCATTTTGTGACAGAAGCCATTTCCTAACACACACGTCGCCCGCGGGTACGTACAGTTCAATTTATGCTTCAAATATCATTTACGGCACTCATTGAGTGTACGATAAGTTAAAAACAAATCTGTGTAATATATATAACCAAACAAGAAAGGGTTACATAAGCACACGCGCAGCCCCACTCGATGAGCGAGTATGCTGCAGTCAGGCCTGTGTGCCGCTCCCAGCCTCCATTTTGAAGAGCCTGTGTGCGGACTGTAGACCCGCAACTGCGGAACTGCGCTGACTGAGCGGAGAAAAAAACTGCCGCAACACAGAGACGGAAACCCAGAGGCCTCCCCGTCTGTTGTTGAGTTTCAACACGCTGCTGGCGCCTGATGAAGTCGTGACCTCTGTGTGAGTCGGTCGTACCAACAGAATGTGGGAGAAGCTGAGGGTCCGTGTACAGCTGACATGGAAATGAATACGTAGCATTTACAAGTGGAAGGTACCTGGCGCCATCTTTGTTTTAGTTTAATGATACCCTGGGCATAGCGGACACCGATCAGAGCTAATGGACTGGTTAAGGTCATAGAATAACGTCCACAAGGTTTCCCTATGAACTGGACCCTTATGCACCTTCGTCAGATTATATAAAAATTACCGTTCGGCTTTTTATATTTCAACGTAACGACAGCCAGTGGCGAATACAGCACTTTTAGGGCCCGAAGTGAACACAGGAAAGCCCCCCCCCTCATCTACTCCTCTAACACCGAGATGAAACAACCAAAACAGATACTATAAACTTGGTATTAAATAAAATAATCTGTCCATGATAGTATTACCTAGCTTTTTACAGAACAAGGGTTGTTTTAATATGTAAACATATCAATAACTCACAATGCGTTCTATTTTGTTGTGTTGGTGTTTACTTTATGGCCAAGTGGTGGTGTTGATGAGGGACAGGCTAGGCAACGAGCACAACTGGTTAAAACAATAAATCTTAAAATTGACATTTTTTTCTTGCTATCATCCTACATTAGTGTAGTGAAGAAAGCCATGCATTTCTTCCTGTAGCATGATATCCGCCTGTGATAGTGTATGAGGCGCATGTGTGCTGGCCATAAACTCATACGTCATGCAAAGCACCGCGACGAGCACGCGTATTACAGTACAGCGTGAGCGGCGCTCATCTGGTGCATACCCTCAGATAAGATGGGAAGCTCCCCTTCTTCTCCTCCTCCTGCTCCTCCTTCCTTTAACCTACTCCAAACAAACCACGTGGTTTCCTCTTCGCAAACAAAAAGAGAGAGAGGGTGGGAGAGAGAGAGATCGAGGGTGAGCGAGAGAGAAAGAGAGCGAGAGAGAGGATTGGAGTTGGTTTAGGGGCGGCGTCATCACTTCGGCGGCAGCAGGCGGACCTCAGTGAGGGAGAGAGAATCACTTCTGTAGACTTGATCTGCCAGTTTTTTTTCTCCCAATCCTCCACCACAGAGCCATCACCAAACCCACCCAGTACCACCCACCACCTCCACAGCGCAGTACAGAAGCGTTAGAGCAGCTTCACTCAACTGCTGGGGCGACTGAAGTTCAGGGATCGAACCTCTTCAGCTGGATTTACGACACTTGCAGAAAACTCATTTGTGTTCATACATTGAAATACCGCTGCAGCCGATAATTTAGTTTAGCATCGGTTTGCATTATTTTTCTTTGAATTCGCTCTTTTACAACATCTACTATCAGCTAGTGTGTCACTATCTTCTTATACACTACTGCAATTTCATTAGAAGAAACTTTTTTTCTTTTTCCGGCTAACACTCGACTTATAAGGAGATTTTTTTGTCCTTTTTTCCCCATTTTTTTGGACTTGGAAGAAATATTTTGTTCCACCATGAACAAGCTGTACATTGGGAATCTAAGCGACAGCGTGACTGCCGAGGATTTGGCCAAAACCTTCGAGGAACACAAGATTAAATACAACGCTCCGTTTCTCATGAAAACCGGCTACGCGTTTGTGGACTGTCCGGATGACCAGTGGGCCTTGAAGGCGATCGAGACCTTATCTGGTGAGTAACGATGGAACCCTGACCGCCAACTACACCCACCGCTCCCTACCTTTAGTTTTCATTCATTCTCCACGGGAGCGGTAAACGCCGGCGTACAGACCCGGCTGCATGCACACCGTCAGCGGCATGTTTCAATACCCAGTGCCCCGTGCACATGCGAGACTTTTACATCGATTGTCGTACAAAAATTATTATTACAAATAAAAATATATTTTATTTGCAATTGCTTAATGAATTGGGGCGTGTGAAGAGCTACGTACCCCCGGGAGCCATTCAACTTTGGCAGGGGGGAGGGACACGAGTAGCGTAAACGCGATGGCAACTAAGAGCCTTTGCTACTATATTCTTACTTTACACCGCGTCTATTGAAATATTTTCAATAAATGTTTTTTAAACATTGTATTGTTTGTTTATTAGCTTCTCTTCACGCGTGGTACTATGATATTGAGTCCTACTCTCCTATAATTTAGCTTGAAGCCTCGTTTACTCTCCCCCACCTTCCAGTCGTCAGACACTATTGTTATAAATGGTAAATATTTCTGTTTTATTCTCATCAAATCAGGTCGCACATAAACGTAATTCAGGCCGAACAGACCGGTTGCCTATTCAGAGTTATTCGGCTCTCGTCGGCTCTTCTTTGGCCTCATTTTTGTCACGTTTTCCCCCTACTGTAGGTCTAAATTGTGTGGAAGGAGACAAGGTCGCCATGGCAGTCGTCTCTGCTTCACTAACTCGAGTAGAAAAACTCCACACACTACAAACAACAATCTTTATTTACGACAATATACATTGTCGTAAATGGAGACGCGCCCCAAGTTTACAGCCAACATTACTATTTACTTTTTAGACTAAACCGACGAACACAAACAACAAAGTGACACGTTTAAATCACCCTCTTGACTTCACCTCGTAGTTTCTGGGCCCTTTGAACTTTAACATTAATCAACTGCTTTTCAGCTGTGGTTTATCACATAAATGTACTGTTTGGTTTGGAAGTATATACACGTAAGTACCGAATAACCCTCTCTTCGCTTAAGCTTAATCCTCCGAATACAACTATACTAACGACCCTAATATTCGTGAACTAGCTCAACGGTTAGCGTGTAGCCATGAAGTGTTTCTGAATCTGTGTTTGCTTTCTTTACTTTCAGGTAAAGTGGAACTTGACGGTAAACGCATGGAGGTCGAGCACTCTGTCCCCAAAAAGCAAAGGTAGGGAAGAACCTCCTCCGTCTTACTTCTGTCCTTAAACCCTTTTCATGTGTTGCATTAACTTTCCGAGCCGTTCTTTTCCGTCATTTAACAAAAATGGCTGTATGTATTGCAATGTTTTGTTTCACTCTTGTGGCCGTGAAGGCGTCACTGTGCCTGCCGTAGCCGTTTTTGGTTAGTTGGTTGTTGTGTATGTGGAACCTCAACTTTCTGTCCGCCATTACTGTGAAACTGGAGAGTGACAGCCTTGGTTGGCCTTCGTGTGTATTGCAGGGGCTGCTATACGGTGGCCTGTTGGTAACTTTACTTACGTGAAACATTATACATAGCTTGAGACAAAAACACGACTTGGACAACGTATTTTTAAGGAAATAAAATTACCCTGCTAACACACTAACCCCCACACACGTTTCTTATTTTGAAGACAGTTCAATCTGGCATGGTAAAAAAAAAAAGAAAAAAAGAAATACAATTTTGAATTTCTTACAGTTCTTTTTGTCTGGTGTGTGGTGAGTTCAATAAATTAAATATTATAATTTTGTTTACATATGACTGACATGCAAAATATGTCTGTCTTGATTTAAATTTAATCTGTAAATGCTTTAATGACAGTGCCATTAGCTGTAATCTAATTTATGTTTTGCAGTTTATAGAAAGATAAATGAAGAAAAATATGATTGACATAACTGGAGAGGGTCATATGGTTGGTCACTGTTGGTGATTGACAAATTGCATTGACTTTGATGGCGCCACATGGGCAGGGTCTTATTGGGCAAATTGCTGTCAAACCCAGCTGGATTCTCCAAAACGAGCTGAGCACATTCCTATATGGATTCTATTAATTTATCTCAGTGTATTAGCTCCAAACCCATCACACACCTTCCTGTACTAAATGAAATTCTTTCTTGTATGTTGATAATTAATTCTGTTGTTGCCAAAGAAATTGAAGGGATATTTGTTGGTCCTTTTAAGTTTTTTTTTTTTTTTTTTTTAAAGTTTAAATGTGGGTCCCATCCACACTAGGTGCAAAGGCACAAGTTAATGTGTTTGTATAAACGTGGCTGAAGGCTCTTTAGGGGTGTGAACGTACTGTACTGCTCTCCTTACCTCTAGTGGCTGATGAAACCATTTTTTAGGAGCCATGCTGGCTAATGTACGTTTGATGGCATTTACTTCCAACTGTTGTCTAACTGCTGACCTAAATATACAGTGTGTTGGTCTTTTAGGTAGACATGAATGCATGTCCACATAGGTTGTTTGTATAGATGACTTTCACCAACGGTCATAAATCGCATGTTAAAATATTAATGGTTAATTCCTTGACATGTTCACCTTGAAATTAGGTCTGAAAAAATTAATTTGTCTAAAAAAATATTCTAGCCTTAAAAACTGATTTGTGTTTGAGAGTCAAATCTATTAAAATTAGGTACTGATGAAAAAAAAGAAAAAGAAATCTGTTATTTTTCACAAGCTGTTTTGGTATTTATATTTATTACATAATCTTTTGGCAGTTTTGTGTTAAATCTTTTTTTATTTTTTAATAATTTTTAAATTTTATAGTATTTACATAATTGAAACACTACCATGGTGTGCATCCATTAATATTGCCTAAAGTATGGTCAGTATATTGTGTGTAAAAACTGACGACCATTGCACATCAGCAGCTTTTTTAAATGTTAGATCTGACCTGCTTTCAACGGTGTCATGGAATTTGCCTGTAGACCATCTTCCATGCCTGTAACCTTTGGCACACATACGAGGTGAGCCGTGTGCACAGCTCTCCATGTTCTACTGCGTGGCCACATGTGTGCTTAGTGTGTGCATATCCTATTGTCAAAATGGCTCCTGAATGTGGTATTTATTTATGGGGGAAGTGTTTGCTTCTCACCAGCTCTTGTGAGGCTCCGTTCTGACTAATTTCAGCAAATGTGTTCAGATCTCTGAATGTAAGTTGTTGTTCTGCATTAGTAGTGTTTAAATATGGCTGTGGCACAATAATCAGAAAAGAGTACAGTGTGCTGTGTCTTGTGTGAGTGACGTCTGGCAGACAGTCTGAATCCTTCAGTTATCATGATACTGCAGGAGCGAGTCACTCGTCATGTGTAGGAAACCAACATGGCAGCAGACAGTCTGTAAATAATTTTGCTGGTGATCTGTGTTTTGTGCAGCGTCCCAGACCTCCTGTGTGATAACCTTGAAGAGCCATAATGATAAAGGTGATTTAGTGAGATTGAGGGGCCAACATGGGCGAGCTAAGGCCTTCAGTGGCTCCGTGACACGTGGTTCCTCGGCACTCAGAGGAGTCACTGCACGTCAGCCTGTGAGGGAGGAAAATGGCGAAGCTCTGAATGTAGCAGGAGCACAGTGTAGGCTAGTGTGTCTTACGTTTCTCACGTGTGCTGCTTTGGTGATCACAGCAGTGCCAAGTATTGAACAGGTAGAACTGAGCAGTAGCTGGAAATGTAAGAAATTGGTTAAAAGGGGAAATTAGTTTTTCAGGTAAAAAAAATAGGTTCCATAATAATGCTAACCTAGCATTAAGCTAATAGAAGTAAAAATATGCCTCTAAATCACTGTAAAGATATTTATATGAAGTACTCTTTGTACAAGTACTCTTGTCATACCTGTTTACATATATAAATATATATGTATAGTATATTTGAGTCAACACATAAGCTGAAATAAATACATTTTTTTCAGTGTTTCAGTATTTTTTTAATATAAAGTGTAAATTTGAATAAAGGTAGAGCATGTTGTCATGTTGCAGCTAACGTACAGGATGTCTCTTCTGTCACATCTCCTACTTTACGCTATTATTATTTTAAAAAAGCTTCAACACTTTTTTCCCCCACATCACAGTAATGTGTGTAATGTGGCTGCAGCGTGGTCCAGTTCTGAAAGTCTGTTCAGGTTTGCAGGCCTGTCACAGCCGCTGATCGTGGAGAGTATTAGTGTGTACGTGTGTGTGTGTGTGTATATGAGTATTTTCTAACTTGACATAGAATCTTACTGGAGGTGTGTGTTAGCAAGGGAGGGGCAGCTGCTCACAGGGAACTGAACCCTTTATTTAACGGATGGCGCTGGGGGGAGGTAAGTGGGCAGGGGGAGGGGTGGCGAGGTTTGTGAATCCAAGGGTTCCACTCTTCTTCTTCTTCTTCTCGCTTTTACATCTGTTATTGTCAATATTAAAACAGTATGGGGTTCTCTTCAAATCTGCCCCCTTGACCTGGGGTTAGGAGTCCAGTACTGGTTGGTAGGTCTGTAGGCTACAAAGACCTGCTGTGCAACCGTATAGGGACAGGGTGGTTTTTTTTACCTGTTTTAGAGTCGACCATGAAACTCGTCAGAGGTCTGACTGAAATGTATGTCAGGCAGCTGAGGTTTGTGGGAGGTCGGGTTCCACGAGAGAGAGAGAGAGAGAGCGAGAGAGAGAAGAGGTAGCAAACGGGACGGAATGGAAAAGGAGTGGGGGTGGGTGGCAGAATTCTGTGTTAGGGAGGGTGTGGGAGGGGGTTCCCTGAAGGAACACGCCATCCTGCCTGAAGAGACAAAATGTGCACAATGTATGTAGTCAGGGAGTGTGTGGAGCTGAAGACCATAAGCCAAATAACCCAGTGTCATTTAAGGTCCTACATGAACCAGGAATACGGAAAAATCCTGTCAGGAAAAATAAACACAAGTTATTTTTATTTATTGCACCTTCACTGAAACATTTAACTTAGAAGTGAAGTGAAAACATCTTAAATAAATCACACACCACACATGTTTTGTTTTTGTTTTTTTTAAATTGAAAGTGATAGTAATTTCTAAACTATTTACTACTATTTCTAAACTGGGATTGGAGTAATTTCTAAACTATTTACTACTATTTTTTTTTACTACTGGGTAAAATTGAAAAAAATAAATGAAGTAAAAACTGCCCTAATCTTTTGTTCATATCTGAATAAAAACAAAATTTAAGCTTTTACGAAACCTTTTTTTCTTGTTAAATATTTTATTCATCAGATAAAACTGTCCTATAGAAAAATGTGTCCAAGACTTTTTAACCTTGTGTTTTCAGAAGAGCGGCGTTTATTGCAATCTTTTTTGTAATTTTGCAAAACAGTGAAATTAAAACATTTCATGAATTTTGCAATTTTCACAGTTCAGTAGAATGAAAACGAACATTGAACTGTGGTTTCTGTCATTTCTAATCGTTGTTCACTAATTTATATTTTTAGACTGAGCTTAAATTAAAGTCACCACTTTATTTACAATCCTTTACCAACACGGCTTCACCGTAGTTGACGTTGACATTTGTTTCCTCTTTATCGTTTTTTGTTTAATCAGGAAGAACATTATAGTAAGATTTTAATAAGTACTGCTAAGTGGAACACACACACACACACAAAACAGCAGAAGACTGTAAAGGAAAAGGACTATAAAGAAAGTTGCCATTTTTGACCTTTAAAAATGTATATAGGATATTTTTTTATGCACAATTGTGGATGATGATGAAGTGAAAAGAGGGTTGTGCTGCTTTTGTTTGGTTTTAGATTGGTTCTCTTTTAAATGCATTTTTTTTTGTGTGCCTTAAACGTTGATCATCCGAACCATCGTTGTCGACCAGCGGTTCGTCTTTGTCTTCAGTCAACCTTGTCCGCACCACGGTTCTTTATTAAATTCTCAAACTGTCATTTTTAGTGATGTAGAGTGAAATCTGTATTTTTAGTTTTCACTCGGTTTACTGAAGTATTTTGTCGTAGAATTAAGTCAAGACAAGACAATGCGATTATTTCCTTGCATTTATAGAAAAACATGTCAGACAGTTAGGCTAAGAAAAACATGGCTGAACAAACGTGTTAGCTAAAAGGCATCTTCTTACTGCCTTCACGTGAACCTGAAAGACGACATGAATTCGAAACATCGTTTTATACAGAATAAGTTAGTAAGATAATTTTCTCCTCCTGTGAGCTTTGTCACATGTTTCAAACCCCAATGCTCTGTTGGTTGTGAGATTT